CATTTCCCCCAGAGCCCAGCACCCACCTGCATCCCACAAAAGATGCTATCACCCAGCTCCTCACCCGCGCCCCAGGTGCCAGCATACAGCACGCCCCCACGATGGTGGCACTGGGTGGATCCAGTCCCCCCCCAGGTGCCGGCACCTAGATCCATTTTTTCCCAGGTGCTAGCACCTATATACACTCCGCCCCTCGGTGCCAGCACCCAGATCTAGCTGCCCCAGACGCCAGCACTCACTTTTACTGCCCCCCGACCCACTCCCCCAGACCCCAGCACCCCGATGCCCTCCCCACGAGATGCCCGCACGAGGACCTACCGGGCAACCCCAAGCAACGCCACGCCCCGCCCCAGATGGGTGCATGGGGGGATGGGAGGGCCGACGCCGCGCGCCCCGGGGGGAGAGGGTCGCTCACCTCGTAGAACGCCTGCACCATCTCCACCAGCACCCACTGCTGCCCCATCGCCACCGCCATCCCGCTTCCGGGCCCTATTCCTTCCCTCGCCACTGCGCCGGCGCCGGGCCAGCGCGCATGCGTACAGCGCTGCAGGCGGAGCAAGGGGGAGGGTGGGGCCGGAACCCGGGGCCACGCCCCGTCCCCGCCCCAGTGGGCGGGACCGGAGAGAGGCCGGAGGTGACGCAAGGCGCAGGCTCTAGACCCCACCCCCAGGCGGGGGCGAGCTGGCGGTTGCTGTGGGGCGCTTCCAACGGTCCTCGCGGGGCGGGGAGGCTGGCGGGTTTCGTGTGCTGCTCCCTTCCCGCCGCCACCCTCAAGCTCCTGCTAAACCTCACCTACATAACGCAGGTCGCTGTTCAGTCGCGCAGTAATTGTGTTTATTTTACACCTGAAAAGTCCTCTTCACCCCTTCACCACCTCTTTTGGGGGGGTTGGGCTAGGTTGGGTATTGTTTTTTTTATTTATCCTTTGCCCGTTGCTTTGCACCTGTGGTGGGTCTAAATGTACTGCACAGTTGCTTAGTCACGTGATAAATGTAATGTGTGGCCAACTACACAAGTCACTGGTTCATCACGGGATAAGTTTAAAGCAGCCATAGGTGCCAAAGTAATTGTCACAAGATAAAATGTCTAGCCCTGTCCCCCAAATGCACTGGTTAATCATGATCGATTCAGAAGCAGGTACATTGTGGAAGAGGCAGATGGCTGCAAGGACCTGGAGTTGGGAGGAGATGGCAAAGAGCATTTCCTGCCAGCTGTGAAGGGATTCACCTGGCAGGTTATTAACTTTCAACAGGGTCAGCTGCTCCTAAGCAGCAGTGGTGACATGTAGGGGGTGCACGTGCACCCCGTGAGAGCACCCCATGATGGACGCACTGCCTGCTTAGGTGACGGGCAGACAAGAACACTGGTGCCCCCCACCCCCTGCAAGTGTCGGCCAGGGAGTGGGAGCACCAAATGAAGCACCGCAGCCACTTCTGGGAGCACCGTGGCAACCTCCCGAGTGGTGCGATGGCTGTGGGGGGACCCCCCTCTCCCCCCCATATGTGAGATCAGTGAGATTGGCTATGGGGGGGGCCCTCCCTGTCGCTGACTGGTTGCTGGGGGGGGCACATGCCCCCCCCCCCCCCCAACTGAGGTGGCACCAGTTGCCAATGATAACTATCAAATGCACCTTGCCATAAGGACTGTTTAGAAAAAAAGGGCAGGGGGGCGGGGAACAACTAGGGTTGGATTCTGGGTGCAGACAGAAGTAATAATTTTTGCCTGATCTGATGCCAGAAAGCAGTTTATAGCTGTGGCCAAACACACGTGCACAGCTGCAGACAGCTTCCAGTGAAAATCTGATCCCTTGTTGCATGAGGAAAACAGTTACAGGCTGGGAGGCAGGGCAGACAAGTTACAAAAAATAATGCATTTTGAAACATCTTTATCTGATACCTCATTCAATGCGCGGGTCAGATTTTCACCTGAAGCTGTCTGCAGCCATGCACTCGTGTTTGGCAGAGAGCCCTGGCCATTACTGTGAGAACCTGGCTGCAGGCCCTCCCGGAACCAATAGCGAATTTCTGTTTGGTGTGGGGTAATGCTATAGCTCAAAATGCTGTGCAAAAATCGTTCCGAGTTACAACTCGGAGCTGTACTTCTGTCTGGAGCCTCTAATATGAACTGAACCAGTCTAAATTTGCATATAGGAAGGAGACATGGCATAAGACTCTGTAGTAGTCTGGCTAACTTCTCTTCAGACTTGCCAAGTGCTTCCCGTGAGGTCTGACTATGGCTCGGCGGCCCACTGGGTGATAAAAAGTTCATGATCCGGCCCCACATTCAAAAAGGTTGGATACCCCAGATTTAAATGGACTGAAGACTAAATCTAATATAATCTGAAACTCTGCTACTACACATTACTTTTTTAAAGCAAAGATTATCCCTAACCTTGAATAAAGTAGCTTTGGGCTAACACTGGTGGCCAAAAGCTGCCCTAACCAGGCAGCTGACGGTCTGACTAACCACTCAGCTTCCCCAGGAACAGGGAGTAGATTGCAAGGAGGAGGCATGCTGGTCAGCATATGCTGCCTAGTAGCAGTGGCTCACCTGCATAATTGCTTCTTTGGTAGTGATAGACTGACATAAACTACAGTAGCCCTGATGCTGTAACTTCATGATTTTGTGAAGAGGCAGGCTTAACTGAGTGCCTGGGGTGTTGAGTCCTATTGTATGAAGCCAACTTGGTTCCCTGTTCAGGGTATACACTGAGAGTTAGATCCACAAAGGGATATGTGTGTCACCACTTATTTTTTAAATAGTGGTCCCTGGAACAGTCAACACCACTGGGTTAGTATTGCAGCTTACTATATGGTGCATGTAGGGAGGAAGGTGTTTCAATAGAATTAGCAACAGTCAGCATACCAAGGGGGTAGCAAGCCAGTAGGAAATGCTTGAGAAAGAGAGGTGTCTTAAATCCCAAGCCTCTCTTGGTGTTTGGGCACCTATGTCAGGTTGGGATTTGCAACGTGGAACAATCTCTTGGAGTTGGACACCTAAATTGTCCATTTTAGAAGTGAATGACTGCTTACCCACTAGGCAGTGAAGTCACCCAAAAGTTGTAAGGTCTGCATCCTAGGCTCTTAGTCTGAGGGTATTCAAATCTACACAGTTTACCTCCCAGGAGAGAGTCCTAAGAGCCAGGCTATAGGTTAGTTAGGTTGGGATCACTCTCAGCTTTGGTTGAAGCTGTGTTAGTGTGTGGCAAAGTTTTCTAGATGTGTGGGGCCAGGAAGGGGTCACAGAGGATCTCTGTAGCCTCATGTTTAGGAGTGGCTGAGATGGAGTCTGGCCCCTGCTCCCTGGAATATTTCCATATTTTATCCAGTGACTGACTGTAAAATGCATGAACCATTGTGGCAGCAGAAACCAGGATCTAGGACTCATGCCTTAAATTGGTAAATGTTCTAACAACCACCTTTTCAAAATGCAAAAGTAGGACATCAAGCCTCCCTGCTCCACACTGCCCTCCTGCACTGGGTCTCACCCACTGGGGGAGGGCAGCAGGGTGGGGAGGCCCATGCCCACAGCAGGCAGCCTGCATCTGCCTGTGCACCACACACAAATCTGGTGGGGGACACAAGCTCTCCTATGCCCCCCTCCCTGGGAGTGCATGAAGCAGTGGAGAATAAGCCCCCACACTACCCTCCAGATGAGTCACCTATGGCTCTGTCCCGCTCCCTGGCCGGGACCTGCAGCTACACATTCCTGCCCTGGTCCCAGGCCCTATGCACCACCGCAGCTGGGCGGAGCTCCCAGTCCCAAACACCAACCCTGCCCCTCTCCCTCCCTCACCTTGAGGGCCTCAATCTGCCCCCATCACAACCCCTCCCCACATCACCTATGCCCCATCCCTCCATAGACTTACCTGCAGGCAGCTGGGGAACTGCTCTCCACTGCTACCTGGCTGAATTGCTGGATGTGTGCATGTGTACATAGACACACATGCATGTCACATCCCCTGTGTCCCACGCCCCCCAGCCCCAAGTACGCTGGACTCTCCCCCCTGCAGGCTGGAACTCTGCCAACCTGCAAGGGAAAACCTTCAGAGGAGAAAATCCACATTTTTCCATGGCAAACAGAAAACCCAGATCCATGCTTACGATACTGGATGATAGTTGCTATGATCTGACTGGGTTGAGGTGAGTCTGGAACAAATGCTGTTTTGGAGTCATTCAGCCTGGGACCAGGACTTGATGTTTACATTTCGGGACTGTCCCGCCTAATTAAGGATGGGTGGTCATCCTACAGGTAACAGAGACACAATCCCCTCTCTATGCCATTGAATCTTTCACATTTTGCTGCATTGCTTCAACAAGAGGGGTGGAGAGTCCTCCCACTCAAAATAGCCTCTAGTCTGGGGCCTAGGGCATGCTTGTAGAGATGTAAGAGACACTTCAGAGCCTTAAAAATAGAAATAAATCACTTTATTCTCCTTAAACTTGTGACTGAAATAAATTCAATTGTGGTTGCTTATCAGAAGCCATGTATAAAATACTGCTCTTAAGCACATGGAGGGATCAATAAGACATTGCCAAGGCAGAGTAATTTATTCAGAAAGCATCTGCAAGCTGTGGTTCCCTGTAAGTCAAGTCTTTCATGTCTTCAATTTGGTAGCTAAAAAATATAGCTCAGTCAGTCATAGCGTCTGCAAACTTGTCTGCAATCTATTCAGAAGCAATTTTGTTCTGAATCAGGAGTGTCTAACCTATTTAGCCCTGTGAGCTGGATCCAGAACCTGAGGCTTCTCACAGGCCAGATGGCCCACCTCCAGTAGTGGTTTGGCAACACAGCTGCAAGAGCCACTGTATTGGCATTGGTCTGGAACCCAGGGGTGAACGCCACTGCTTGCTTCCCCTCTCCACCAACTTTTCCCCTACTGCCAATTTTAGTCACCAACAGCAACCAAAACTCCCACATTCAGTGGTGGGCAGAGAGCATCAGTGGGCTTCAATTTAACCACTGGCAGGCTACCACATGTTCAGGTTCAATGCCCAGTAATCCTGTAATAAAAAGAATTCAGACTAGATGCTGTGGGCAAAATAGCCTAGCAGTTTTACGTTGCTGTTTTTCTGCAGGTAAAGCCCTCCTTTCTCACCTTGACCCAATGAAATATTGAATGAGCTCAATTTCCAGCTCAGTGGACATCAAGAACATGCAGAGCCTTGCAAAAGCAGGCCTTCAGAAAGGCAGAAATCTTTGATATTATAGACACCTGGTCAAAATGTGTATTCAGAAAGGATAAATGACATTAGAAGACTGTCAGTGAAATAAATGTTCTAATTTTGAGTGGTTACCTATTTCTTCTACTGAAAGGGGACGTGCATGATAAAAACCAATTACAACCTATGAGCAATGAACTGAGGCTCATCCTGCAAAATCCTTCCAGATTTAGAACTCTCCTAAATCTTCGTAGATCACAATCCATTAACATGATCTACAAAATTAGCCATGGCTGTAATTTCAGGGAGAAAAAGATCTTTTTTCTAATGGCACACTTTGCATTTCTAAACAGTTCTAGGCAAAAGATAAATTTAGAAGTGGGAATATTGAATGCCTAATAAACAGGGTGTACTCCATTATTAAAAATGCAATGTATTTTTTAGAATAAAGTTCTTTTTAAGTTTCCCTGAAATAACTGAAATATTATGATACACTACCAACTTGTTAGATGAAGATTTTCAGAGGTGACTGTGTTCAGATGCCTTGGTTTTAGGGTGCCCACCCCGATCCATCATAAAGATGTGATTTTAATTTTAGGCTTCAAGGATCAAACTTGGATCCAGATTTACAGGCTCATCTACTACTATGAAGAATAACTTCCCCCACCCACTATTACTAAAGAGTGGAATTAATGGAGCCAAACTTAATATCACTGAAATGTTAGTCAGATAGTGCAGTTGCATAAGTCAATGACACCATTGTTTCAGTGAGCTGTAGTAACGGTGTGGGAAGGAAGAATTACAGTAGTCACAAAACTTGGTTAACAAACTTCAGAGCAAAACAAGCAAGCACCCAGTATTTTGGCTTTGTAATTCTGAAGGTGCCACACCCTCCCATGGCCGCTGTGCAGCAATAATTGCTTCATCAGAATAATTCGGGAAAAGATCAGGTGAAAGGTATCATACCTACATCAAAAGGATCTGATTGCTGGAGTTAGTGCTAGACCAAGCCAAAGTATTCTGTTAGAGGGCCAGATTTGAAATGAAACAAACTTCCAAGGCACTCACTTCCTAGAAGTATCCTTCCCATATGAGACATTTTTATAGCCTTTGTATACACTCCATCTTACCCCCAATTACTTCAGGGAGAGCTCCCTACCCTGTTCCCCTCCTGGAACTGTTCAACCTTAAATGACACCATCTTTTTTAAGGAAATTAATTACCTAACACAGAACTCAGCAGGCCAGGTTATTTCTCTAATGATCTGACTGCACTTACGTAATTTTGCCACAAAGAAGATGTGGTTCCTGTCTCTTACACAGAGGTTCTCAATCTGTATAGACTCAAGGTACCCCTCAGAAAATGGTAGCTCTTCGTTTTCACTCATGCTTTCACTATAGAAAAATAAGAATGCAATTCTTCTGTTGCAAAGACCTTGGGAAGACTACAAAAGATAGAATGTTTTTAACGCTATGTATTCCTATTTGAAATCTCTGGATTTATCTTGTGAGTCATGTTTGCACACAACATTATTAACATTGAGTGGCATGCCTGAGAAGCTGTCAAGACACCCAATGATGCCACATGACCCTGGTTGAGAATCACTGCTCTAAGACCTAACAAGGAAGGTCTACACTGCATAATTTCCTGCATGTTAGATAAGGAAGCCTCAGGAGTTCCTAGGGACTGTAGTCTAGGAAAGTGACACTTCACAGCCACTTAAATTCAGTCATCTAAGCCAAAAACGTAAGTGGTCAGTTAACTTCTGTGCTGTATTTAAGATACTTGACATTTTTTGCTTTTAATTACCAGAGGTGCTAAGAAGCCACCCAGGAGTCCAGGTGAAAGTAAATGAAAGTCTGAAAATCAGACTTAAGTTCTGCATCCAAATCACTGGCCACCTTAAAAAAAATCTACCCCAGATATCTTGACCTAAGGGATTGAAAATGGGAGGAGAGGTGACGATGAGCCTTTTCAAAATTGCTTGAGTCTCTCTAACAAAGGATGACACACTGAATGGGAATTTAACGACTACCCACCTCTCTGCTTGTGGTAAAACATCTGTAGAGTACAGCAAATGTTTAATGTTTTCTTTGGAGCCTTGATACCATTCACCTCAGTAATGGAATTATGAGTAAACTCTTCAATATGCTGGAGAATTGTTTTATTTAAGTTCACTCTGTACAAAAAAAAGAGGAGTTAACCTTTACATGACTGAGGAGTTACTATTTTTTACACTTATACCATCTTACACTTACAGTGTCATTTGCCGGCCAGTTTACATAGACTTCACTTCAGTATGTTCTTCTACAGCAGGTATTCAGCTAATAATGATGGGGCCAAATTTTAGACTGAGCATCTGCAATAGAAGCAGAGATCCACAAAGGGATGTGGTGTGCAATTCTGTGTGCAATCTGGTCACCATAATGCAGTGATTCTCAACTAGGGTTTGAGATTCTTTCAAAGGTGTTACTCAATGTTAGCTATGTTAGGTGTGCAACACAATTCACAAGATAAACGCAGAGATTTCAAATGGAAATCTTTAGTGTGAAAACACCCTGACTTGTTGTGGTCTTTCTGAGTTCTTTGCAACAGAATTACGCTATTATTTCTCTGTAGTCAAAAACAAGTCAAAAATAAGAGCTGGCATTTTCCAAGAGCTGCCCTGAGTCTATGGAGAAGTACCTTGGGTCTATCAAGAGATGCCACCAATCTGAAAAGATTGAGAATCACCACCTTAATGGAATCAACAGCCTTGAGTTGGGAGTTTTAACTTGTTTTTTGACTACAGGAAAATAACACAGCAATTCTTCTGCTGCAAAGAACCCAGGAAGACCAGAACAGGTCACAAAGTTTTTGATACTGAGGATGTAGGGGGGTAGTTAGGAAGGCCAAGGCAGAGATGGAACTGGGACTAGCTTCCCAGATTAAGGACAATAAGAAGTCCTTTTTTAAATACATAGGGGGTAAAAAGAAGGTCCTGGGTAATGTGGGGCCCTTGCAGGACGCATTGGGAAATTTGGTCGTCACACCAGACGGCAAAGCTAACATGTTTAACGATTTCTTTGCCTCC